TATTCTACTCGCAACCCTCTTGTGGATCGGATTATGGATCTTGATCCTCTTGATATGAAATATTAAATAAGGAATGAACTACACTAGTCTAGTAAGAATATCACGCTACTCATCGACGCAGAAATAAAGGTTGGTAGAAAAATAAAAAATAACTAATAGAGCTCTTAATTAAACAAATTCATTTATCATAAACAAAATCTTTTACCATTTACTTACTGTAGTGAAATTTACAATACAACTTATAGAGACAATAATATAACACATATCATGATTTCATATGTAATCGATTTAAACAACAATTTTATTATTTTATCAGCCTACTAGTATCCATAGGGGTTCATAAGGATGTCTCCACAACGCGTGAGCTATTTCCTTTAACTTTTCAAATTAACAGGCTGTCCCCATACCCCGTTCAGTATGAGTGCCAAATTACTAAACCTCAATTTCATCCATTCACGGTAGGATTTTCTTTATACCCAGTCTGTCCACCATCTCCCATAATATCCAGTAAGGCTGTCATTTCATCCATTCACTTAATCACGTAATTTTCTATTTTCCTTTAATCTCTACTATTTCTCAATTCAACCGTAAATACATAAAATAATCAATATATGCATTTAAAGCTATGAAATCGATCAATAAGATACTATCATGCATTCAAACCGTAAAAATAATCAACAGAAATAACAGTAGATAATTTTCGATTCTGACTCCATTAGTAACTCATAATTAATTATGGATATTTTCTAAATTGTACAAAATACAGTATTTATTATTAATTTGACTTCAATTCTATAACAAAGAATAGAGTGAGAGATTCTTACTCAATTTGATGCCCGAAAAGTGAAATTTGTTGACTGCGCCTACCAGCGGTACCTAGATTCCCTAAATTTTTCTTCAGAGATTAAAACGCGCTATAAATACCTACAAATATCGTAAAAAATCTAAAAACAGTGTCAGAACTCCTTTTTAGCTAATTTCAAAATTCCAGCACAGTGGCTTCGTCGTGCTCCGACGACAGCGTAAGGGGCCTCAGTTGGTAAATAAAAAATAAGAAACCGAAACTCACCAGCGGCGGGGCTCTCCGGTGCAGTGGCTCCGCCGACTCACTTTTGCGGTGGGGTCTTTTGCTTCGGTCAACCTGTAGAGAATGAAACAATGATTACAACGGTGGAAAAATTTCGCAGAACGAGAATTAGGAAGGGCCTCATCGTAGGCAGTTTTTAAAATTTTCTGTAGCGGCGGTGCCAAGCTTTGCCCGCGATTTCTGGCCAATACTCTAGTCTTTTAGCTCTGATTTGGCCATGGGGGTGTTTAAAATTGAATTTCGAGCAAATGAGAAATTTTTTACCTTTTTTGGCGGTTGGAAGTGGCTCCGGCGCGGCGGCGGGTGGCGACGGCTCTCCTCCCCGACTGCTGGGTCTTATTCTCCGCCGAGGGTGTCTAGTGGCTAGGGTTAAAGTTTGGTGTGAAAAAGGTTATTTATACCCGTCCCCTTTTAATCTTGACCGTCAATCGCGTTTGATCTGGACCATCCAGTCACGATTAAATAAGAAGTAAATCTGAACTATTGATCGCATTTAAATCTGACCGTCCAA